ATAACTGTGAAGCATTTCGAAAGGAATTTTATTTGTAGTCTTATTTATCATATTATTTAGATTTCTTTCGCATTCCTCAATCTTTTTGTCCCAGGCCCTCTGATTCGGATTTTCCATACTCGTTTTAATCGTAGTCAAAATTGTTCGATTTGCTTTTTCCACCATTCCATTACCACTTGGATGTTGAGTTGAATTGAGCGTATGACTGATTCCATTATTTTGACAGTACTCTCGAAATTCCTTCGCTGTGAAAGTGTTCCTCTATCTCTGATAATTTTTCTGGTAACACAAAATCATCTACAAAACTCTTCAATGCAACTAATACATATTTGGTTGCAGTACTCCTTGTTTCTTACCACTAGGCACTTTATTTACTAGACATTCGAAACACATCGAAATGTGAGGCATAACATATCGTTAAGACACAATAACACGCCGAATAAATACTAATTCAGAAGTCAAACAACAAAAATCAGCGTTATACCTACAAAATTTTCACAGGACTAGTTTCGATGGTTTTACCGAACCATCATCTTCAGCTGCAAAACCGCAAATGAACAAGTAGGAAATAATGATTAGATAAGATAAGAAAGCCTGGACAAGAATAAGCAAGTGGCGCCATCTGTTGGCAAAACCAGAACTAAAACATAATTTCTCTAAAAGCCGAAGGCAAATTTGGATTGGAATTAGGATCGTCAACTAGAACAGAAAGATTTTTATGAATGTGAAATGCCTCTAGAAAATCCAGTTCTCCAATGGAAGATGTTTTTTGAATAATTTTGGCAGCAGAAAAATTGAAAGAGTGATTTTCGGACCAACAATGTTGAGCAACAGAAGACTTCTGTGTTTCCTTTTTTCTAACATATGCCTCATGTTCTTTGACGCGAAATTTTAAGGCTCTCTTAGTTTGGCCAATGTAAATTAAACCACACTGGCAAGGAATCCTATAAATACCCCAGGAATTCATATCCGGAATGGGGTCCTTGAGTATAGAAGTTGGAATTTTATTGATGGGAGAATAAACAACCCGAAAGTTAAATTTCTGCAAAATATGTGCAACTTTATAGCTAATTGATGGAAAGAAGGGAATGACAACAGAATTTTTATAATCTCCTAAAATAAGAGTGTGGCTTTTAGTGTGTTGGGATGAGAATTTTTTAACTGCTTGATTAATAATGTTGGGTGAAAAGCCCCTGTCAATAGCTATTGCTTTTAAATAATTTAGTTCTTCATCAAGGGCTAGTTTGGAGGAGCAAACTTGAAGAGCACGGAAAACATAGGAATAAAATGAAGCTAACTTTTGCTTAGTCGGATGACATGATTTAAAGTGTGGTGGAAGGCAAACCGATGAAGGTTTATGGTAAATTGTAGTACTGAAGTTGGATGTGACCAGAATGTCGAGAAACGGAAGAGAATTGCAAGTCTCAAGTTCAAAAGTGAACTGAATAGCAGGATCAATAGAATTCATTGTTGAAAGAACTTTATTTAAATCATCTTTATTACATTCAAACAGGGTAAAAGTATCGTCTACGTAGCGGAACCATGCCGGGAAGTTTAAAGTTTCAAACAATTTGATTCATAATAATGCATGTAGATATCAGCCAGGATGGGACTGAGGGGGCTTCCCATGGCTAAACCCTCAGTTTGCTTGTAATATTTATTTTGGAAAACAAAATGTGTTTGTTTCAAACAGAGTTGAGTGAGAGAAATTAGCTCATCAATTTCGATGCAAGAGAAATTAAATTCACGAAGTCTGGTTTCTAGACATCTTAATGCACCCTCCACTGGGACATTGGTGAATAATGATTTTACATCAAAAGAAACCATGAGTAAATACTAGGAGAAATGTTTTTAACCTTTTTTACAAACTCTATTGAATTTTTTATGGTGTAAATGTTATTGTCTAATAGAGTGGAAAATCTAGAAACTAAATATTTAGCTAAAGGATACGAGGCAGTACCTAAATTTGATACAATAGGGCGGAAAGGAATACCACTTTTATGAATTTTGGGAAGAGCATATAATCTGGCACAATTCGCAACAGATGGGATAAGCGAATGTTTTAAGTTGCTTGAAATGATTTGCGAAGATTTGATCGCAGTTTTTATTAACTATTTATATATAATTATTATTTATTATTGGATAATTTATTAAGAGTTAACTCTTAAACGAAGGACCATATAATCCGATCCCTAAAGATCCTTCACCTTCGGACTTATCCAAAATAAAAACTGCGATCAAATCTTCGCAAATCAATCATGTCACTTTAAATCATGTCATCCGACTAAGCAAAAGTTAGCTTCATTTTATTCCTATGTTTTCCGTGCTCTTCAAGTTTGCTCCTCCAAACTAGCCCTTGATGAAGAACTAAATTATTTAAAAGCAATAGCTATTGACAGGGGCTTTTCACCCAACATTATTAATCAAGCAGTTAAAAAATTCTCATCCCAACACACTAAAAGCCACACTCTTATTTTAGGAGATTATAAAAATTCTGTTGTCATTCCCTTCTTTCCATCAATTAGCTATAAAGTTGCACATATTTTGCAGAAATTTAACTTTCGGGTTGTTTATTCTCCCATCAATAAAATTCCAACTTCTATACTCAAGGACCCCATTCCGGATATGAATTCCTGGGGTATTTATAGGATTCCTTGCTAGTGTGGTTTAATTTACATTGGCCAAACTAAGAGAGCCTTAAAATTTCGCGTCAAAGAACATGAGGCATATGTTAGAAAAAAGGAAACACAGAAGTCTTCTGTTGCTCAACATTGTTGGTCCGAAAATCACTCTTTCAATTTTTCTGCTGCCAAAATTATTCAAAAAACATCTTCCATTGAAGAACTGGATTTTCTAGAGGCATTTCACATTCATAAAAATCTTTCTGTTCTAGTTAACGATCCTAATTCCAATCCAAATTTGCCTTCGGCTTTTAGAGAAATTATGTTTTAGTTCTGGTTTTGCCAACAGATGGCGCCACTTGCTTATTCTTGTCCAGGCTTTCTTATCTTATCTAATCATTATTTCCTACTTGTTCATTTGCGGTTTTGCAGCTGAAGATGATGGTTCGGTAAAACCATCGAAACTAGTCCTGTGAAAATTTTGTAGGTATAACGCTGATTTTTGTTGTTTGACTTCTGAATTAGTATAACATATCGTTTCATTCCTTTAAAGCAGTATGACTCCCTGATATTGGCAACAGCTCTATCTGCTGAAAAATGTCCCAAAAGATCGTGAAAGTTTACTACAATAACTTTTCTCATCGACTTAGGTATGACATATAACAATTTCTCTTTTTCCTGATCTTTTACTTTACGAAACAATCGATTATTCTTCAAGACGTAATTTTCAGTTACATATTTCTCTGCATTCGTTCTATCATGTATCTTTTTCTTTAAAATGTCTATTAATTTGCATAATTCTGAATCTGAATATTGAATCACAAGAATTTTTTCATCTATCGTTAGCGTTAAAGAAACTTCCAAGTTGTTTTCAGTTATAAAGTTTCTTTTGGCCAGCCACTGGCGATCGGCTCAATGCATCTACGTGACTCATTTTTTTTTAATATGCTTTATTTCAAGATTGTATTCCTGGATCAGATTACTCCATCTTGCTGAGGATTTGAAGTTTTCTTCGCGTTTAAATAAACTAAAGCTTGGCAGTCTGTAATTACCGTAAATCGGATTCCAATTAAAAATTGTCGAAGTAGTGTCAAAGTCCAAACTATAGCTATTAATTCTAATTTGCTTTAATGATAATTCTTTTCTGTTTCTGCTGTTCCTTTACTTACACAATAAACTAAATGCCACTTTTTATCTTCACCTTTTTGCAACAGCATTCCTGCCAGACCTTTGCTGCTCCCATCTGTGTACAATTCAGTCTCTGCTTCCGGATTATATAAAGCTAGTACTGGTTCTTAGTTAAATGGTCTTTCAAAGTACTGAATGCTTCTTGCTGATCTTCATTCCAACGAAATGCTTAATCCTTCCTCGTCAGTCTCGTTAACGGCTCAGCATTCTCTGCATATTTCGGTACAAACCTTCTAAAGAAACTTGTCAGGCCTAAAAATTGTTTAACTTCATGTTCATTGGTTGGTTTAGGAAAGTTTAATATGGCTCGTACCTTTCTTGGTACAGATTGCATAACATTTGATTTTATTAGAAATCCCAAATAATCAACTTCATCTTTTCCAAATTCGCATTTTGTCAGTTTCAATGTCAGCTTTGCTTCTCTTAATCTATCAAACACTTTTCGAAGTTTTTCCATCATTTCGTTCCAAGATTTAGACGGAATTAATATGTCGTCCAAATAGAATAATACTTCTTTATTAAGCAATGGACCTAAAACTTGATTCATAAGTCTCTGAAATTCTGCAGGACGTTAGCTAACCTAAAGATCATACGTTCAAATTGACCAGTATCATTTGGAGTGATGAAAACTGGCGTTTTAAGTAATGCGAGAAGGAAGATTTATTAACATAAGGTGAAGAATATTTCTTAAAGAAAGTAAGTTAAGCTAACATTTCAGAAGTAGGATTAACTAGAATTATTACCTAGGATTTAACAACGTATTGCCTTAATGTACGTTAAGCCTAAATTGAATGCGGAAGCTCTCCAAAACTGAAGGTAGAAAGGTACGTGCATTTAAAAATTGTTTATGTTATGTTAAAGTATTAAACGAAAAGAACTTAAGTCTAGTTATTGTATTATTATTGGAAAATTGAAGTCTAAGATGGCTTATTTGGCAAGAAGCAAGAAATATTCTTCACTTATGTTAATAAATCTTTATTCTCGCATTACTTACATATCACGGAGACAATACAACTGAAATTACAAACTATTATGAAAAAAACATTACCGTTCAAAAATGCTCTCTCGTTGCCAAGCGGGAAAATATATTTAAAAAAAAAAAAAAAAAAACACCTTTTACACATTCCAACACTTAATCTATAAGAAAATAATTACCAGTCAGTTATACAGCTTTGATTAGCACTTCAAAAATTTCAAACAAAAGCATTAACAAATTTTATTCATTGATGCTGTATCTTCCTTATAATCAATCAATGCTGTGTGTAGAATCTAAAGTCAAAAACGGCAATATTTTGATACTTTTGTTCAATCACTTTCGTCGCTACTTTCGCCACTATCTTCTTCGCTGCTTTCTAGCTCTGCCATCCATTCAACCATGCGTTCTTCAAGGCATTCCTAAAACGAAAAGGATGTATGTAAAGCAGTATTCCATATGAACGTATAACCACATGAAATATGCATAAAAGACGAATTTTTATTTACACAGGTGAAATTGGTTTAATCAATAGCTAATATTTACTGAATAATCGTGAAAACTCATGTGAACAAAAATTTTAATTGATCTTAGTGAATGTTTTTCTTGTCTTTGTTTCGAATTCTAAAATTAGTTTTGGATACCGTTTTATCAAGACGTTTCCTTACACTCTGCCGAAAACGTATTTGTAAAGAGAGTAAAATACTTTATAATGATTTCTTCAAAATGTGTTTTTAGCTTAATGTTGAAGCTATTTCTTATGGGGTTATAGATTAGGATCTTGCTTTACAAATAGTTACAGAGAGAAAATTCGTTGCAAAATTTCGATCGAGCCACTGGAAATTTCAGAAAATAATCATTCACGTGAATTTTTACCTAACCTCTTAGGTAATAAACTTATCGCTGAAAATGTTTTCAAAATTAATCAGTTTTTATCGATCATCATATGCCTAATACTTTCCAATGTCTTATCAATGTCTAATTTGTGAACTGTCCATAACGTTTCTGGTGAAGTTATTAAAACCCCTAATCTTAATACTCAAAGAGCATTCCTCACTGGAAGAGAACATGCCAGTGTGAAATTTAAAATTAAGCAAGATAGCAAGCAGCCTTAGTTGAATAGGGAGGATGGTTTCTAAGAGATTTTTTTTTTCTCTGCAGATTTTTTTTTTTTTTTTTTTTTTTTTTTTTTTTTTCCTCTGTAGAAGAAGGACCAGTGTCTGATCGCCTTCATAACAGAGAGAGTTACCGAAAATCTAGGTCAAATGAAACTTTTGTTTAGTTCAGAGAGGCTTTGTCCCTGAAAGACTATCGTTTTCGTTGTGCGTTTTTGCTTTGAATCACTATAAATGCCCGTTTTACTTTTCAAATTGTTGCCACCAAAAGTTAGAGACCTGCATTATATTTGAAGAAATTTAATAATGAAAAATCTGCATAAATGTAGGTATATTTCTCGCATTGTGATAAAGCAACGGTACTTAGAGCCATCGAATTTTGAATGATGTAATCCTCCTACGAATATGGGCATGTGGAAGAATGAATTTTTGAGTAACAAACTCAACGATAAAAGCGAGCAGTGGCAACACTCTAGGGAGGAAAAAAAATTTTATCTCCAGCGCGAGGAACTGTGTATCGGAAATTCTAAATATATGCTCATTTTAACCCTCTAATGCCCATGGTAGCATATTTGCTACCATATATTAAGCGCCACGTTTTTATACCACGAACGCCATGAAATGTAATTTTTAAGTCATAAATTGATAGACTGAACATTTCTCATATATTATTAGCGAATTTTAGGCATAGATAGCAGCACCAGCTTAAAGAAAAAAAAATTAGAAGAAGCATGGATGCAGCAAACAATGCAAGCACCTTTTCAGACGTAAGTTGTTTGTTTATTTTACAAATATTTTATTAATAAAACAATTAATAATTACTATTTATATAAAATAAAAGAGTGAGTGTATCACACAGTATAAAATAACTTTTACGAAATTATTGTTTTCAATGCTAAAATATTTTTTAAAAATCATGGTAGCGAATCTGCTACCATGGGCATTCGTGTATCTAAGCCTATTAGTTCTCTGAAGAAAATATGTTTTTACATTGAAATTAGTTCATGATCTTTAATCTTTGTAATTTTAGAGATAATAAATATATCCTTAAATACAATTTATGGATTTAAATTTTATTAGTTTAAATTTTGATATTTTTCAATTTAAAAAATATTTTAAGATATAATTTCCTGTAAAAAGTTTCTAGGAAAATTCATTTTGAGATTTAAATTGAAAAATAAATTAAATCCTCTATTAAATCTCAAGTTCTTTTTTATATATTTTTACTTTATTTATTGAATGAAATTTTTAAAAAATAATTTAATAAAATTTTCGGAATTTTGAATTTTTTTTTTCAGCCATGCACTTCAGGTCCCTTTTTCCACAGAGTAAGAGGAAGAAATGTATATGAATAATTTGGAAAGTGATTTATCCGATATATACACTGGTGTGCAAAAATTAAGGACGAAGTCGAAAAATTAGCATATCAGCTGAACGAAGAGGCAGAGCGGACAGAAAGACTAATCAGGAGATTAAGTAAGGTGATGTACGGTAGCACATGCGCAGATATGCAGGTAGACGTAATGGGGGAGTGTCTGAGTAGTGTAAAGCATGTTGTCGGTGTAAGATCAGTATTTCTGGCAAAGAGATTGCACGCCGTATAGCAATTAAAATCACACCGAGTTGCTGCCTCAGCGAGAAATGGCGAATAATCAATCTGTTAGACGACATCTGGATGCTTTTACACGAGATCAAATCATTGGGAAGTTGGAGGAAGGTCGCAGTGTGACAAGTGTGGCTGCAGAGTTCGCAATTGCTCACAGCATCGTTTCACGACTTTGGAGACAATTTCAAACTACAGGAACACCTATCCGGGGGTTTAGTAGTGGTCGTCCACGAGGAACCACACCCGTAGATGACCGGTATATTGCCTTACAGACCAGAAGAAACAGGCGGCAGACAGCGGGAGAAATCGCTAGACACACGACACAGGCGACTGGACGACCGATATCGCGTTTTACCGTGGCCAGAAGACTACACGGTGGTGGTCTGTTTGCACGACGCCCTGTACGGTGTGTACCTCTAACGCCTGTCCATCGGAGAAAGCGTTCTCTGTGGTGCCGGGAACACCGGAATTGGAGAGACAGTGAATGGGGACGAGTACTCTTTGCACATGAGAGCAGATTCAGTCTGAGTAGCGATTCTCATCGCATACTCATCTGGAGAGAGCGGGGAAGCCGCAATCATCCCTCGAACATCATTGAAAGGAACAGGTATGGAGGTGGCGGTGTTCTCGTTTGGGGAGGCATCATGCTTGTTAGTCCTACAGACCTTCACATCTTCGACGCAAGTTCAGTCAACGGGACCCGTTAATGTAACGAGATTCTTCTTCCATATGTGCGTCTTTTTAGAGGCGCTATGAGTCCGCAGTTCCTTTTCATGGACGACAATGCACCATGTCATCGCACTGTATCTGCCGAACAGCTCTTAGAGAATGAGGATATTGAACGTATGGATTGGCCGGCACGATCTCCGGATCTCAATCCCATCGAGCATGTATGGGATTTTCTAGGCAGACGCTTGGCAGCTCGTACCTTACCACCAGTAACGATTCCGGAGCTTCGATTGGCGCTGCAAGACGAATGGGCAGCAATGCCTCAACAACTCATTGACACCCTCATTCTCAGCATGGGCAGACGCGCTGTGAAACCTGCCTAGCAGTCAGGGGAGATCATATCCCCTATTAAAGACCGGATGTTTTCTTGCTGGACACCCATCACAGGGATGTTTCGGCCTTCAGTCGCATTGCGCTCCATGCCTACTTTTTCAATAAAGCTTCTTTTTATCCCTCTGATTCTGTTTTTAGTAAGTGTTGCTTACATTACTCATGTCCTTACGTATTGGGGATATTACGGTATTAAATGTGTTGATTTGGAAAGCTTTTGTGCAAAGTTATATTGAAAAAACCGTCTCGTCCTTAATTTTTGCACACCAGCATATAATGACGACTCTGATAATGAATATATGCCTACACGAGTGTCTTATATCTTCCATGAAGGAAGCTCAGATTATGAAGAATAAGATCATAAAATGACCAAAATACATCAAATATTGAAGAAAGTGTCTATCTACGTAAGAGCTATAAAAATTTTTAATTTTCTGGAGAAAAAAAAGAACCTAATCTTATGCCTTCATCAAATGATGATGAATTTCCTTATCCTACATAACCTCTTCCATCTGCTGTTGCATATTTTCAGATTGTCATATCAACAAGTATGATACAATTAGTAGTTTAACAAAGAAATCTGTATAGAGTTCAACAAACAGAACTTCTCTTATGGTGAAGTGACGGCAAATGAAATAGAGCAAGTAGTACGAATGGACCGTACGCCTCATATTAGAGAATATTGAGAATAGGGAATATAAAGTGTCAACCAATTGCAGAAGTAATGTCTAGAAACAGACTTGAAAAAATGTACTTTTTTAGTACGACGGTGTTTGTCTGGATTTCGCGAAAACATGCTATCCGTTCCAGGTGAGACCAAGCAGTCTATTGATGAAATAATGATTCCATTTCGTGGGACAATCCATATCAAACAATATATGCCTAAAAAACGTCATAGGTGTAATTGGAATACTTCCGGCTAGCAGTCGGGAAGCCCCAATTCGAATCCTTTCGATGACATCATTTATTTTTCATGTTTCCTAGCTTCAACAGAATTCTACACGAATTTACAAGTGGCGCCTGAACTAGGCAAGGATTCGCCTATACCAGGATTTGGAGATTTGGTTCCAACTCCCTAGTTGTCCTTTAAGAGGGGAGAAAGTATTTTTCCTTCCTTTTACCATACTTTTCTGGTGTAATTGTAAGCAAATCGGGATAAGGTCGGGAAATCAGGAGCTCGAATTCCAGAGAAGGTACTTTGCATTTTTTACGTCTCTTTCGAAATAAAATGCCCATTGTTCTTTACAAATTAGCATAGCAGAGAATAACAATGATATTTACTTTGATATTTACAATGATATAACTTTCTTTATTTAATTATTTTTGTTTTAAAATAATCTGTTAAGAAATGTTTTAAGTAATGAAGGTAATATGCTTTATTTTCAAACGAGTATTAGTCATTGAAATTTAACAACAATATTTTAAGCGGAGGAAAAAGATAAAATTTCATATGATACATTAAAGACAGTTATCTTCCATTTGGTAAAAATAAATAAGGTTTATAAATAAGAATGGTAAGATGCGGGATACGATTACAGTATTTCTTTAAAAAGAAATTAAGTTGTAGCATACACGTATGGAACATAAGTAGTCAGCTTACTCTCGCGAACTAACGCGAGAGGATTTCAAAGAATATTTTCTGCAAATGATATGGAACGATTTAGATTTTGCCTTAAAATAAAATTAGTATAATGAACCAATAACATACAAGGAAAAAAAATTGTTATTATATAAAAGTATTTAAGATATTAGGAATTAAATTTCAGTGGTTAGAACCATATACAAATAAAGTAAATAAATTTTCAAAAATAAAATTAACAAAGCTAATATTTATGCCAAAGAGACTTTAAAATTCAAACACGCTCCTCATATTATTAGTTACAACTTGGAAGAACTATAAATTATAAGAAATTATTTACATAAAATTATTTTAAGTAACTTTTTAAGTAACATTCCGCCCGTTTCTTCTTGTCGGATTCTTTTTTTCGGGCCATTTCTGCATGTAAGTCTTTTTTTTTTTTAATTTGTTGGAATAAATATCAAATTACAACACAGAATTTTCTTTGAGGGTCTTTAAGATCTTTCAAATTTATACATTTTCCCCAAAAGCTAACATGAAGTCAATATTGCCACTGTCCGAAAGCTTATTTTGTTTGATTTATTTTTTTAAAGCGTACGACGAGCATATCAATAATTAATTTTTCAAGAAATAATTCCTGAAACCTTTCTGATTAAACGATAACAAAAATAGGAGAAGGTAAATGAAATTAAGATCACAAGCCTTGCGAAATCCTATAACGTAGCACAACAGTGCTGAATATAAATAACAAGAAAAATAGACACGAAAACCATAAAAAAAAACTAAAACAAAACTATAATTAAAAACTATAAGTAACTATAATGAATTTATTAATATATAGTTAATAAAGCGTAAAGCAGTGATTGTAATAAACGATGAGTAAGCGATAAATATTCTAAATGTAGCAGCAGTTTCTTGTATACGGTATTTGTCCCACGTTAAATATGTGAAAAGGAAAAGTCGAGCTGCAGGATCACTTATCAAAGCGTTGAAATAACTAGACGTCAAAACCCGACAAAATTCAAAAAGCCTGAAAAAGTTAAATGAAGAGAAAACTGAAGAAAGATTGGAGGGATTGGATTATCTGATTATGAACGGCGAAATACTCTTTTGGGCTTTGGTGATGGATATCTTGATGGACAACGTTTCGAAAAAGTTAGTAGAAGAAAAACATATTCACGAATAACATTGGATACGTAAAGCAGCAAAAGAAGATAAAGAAGAAGAAAAATGAAAAGAAACTTTCACATATAAAGAGCTAAATTTTTAAAATAAAGAAAATATTTTGAAAATTGGGGAAAAGAAAAACAAGAATTAGTTGGAAAATGGTATTTTCAACAATAATGGCTGAAAAAGGTCTTGTGAGAATAATCCAATAGATTTATAACAGTAGAATCACACGAAAAAATATTTACATATTATAAGTATATACATAAACATATGCCTAAGTTATACAACATTCAGCATTCGTTTCAATAATTTCAATATTTTTTCAATAAATATTAAAAAATACGTTTTTAAAACAAATACGCATCACTAAAAGGTCGTAAATTATTAGCCAAGCATAATTTTTAATTTTTGCGCTTTCTACTTACTGCAATAATTTTAATTCATTTATAATTTAATAACTAGTGTTCTCTAGCAGACCTTCCTTGGCCTTACGCCAGACCTTCTGAATACAGCTTATAACTTGAAAAAGATCTCTATGAAACTTGCAAGAAAACAAACGGTAGTCTGGTATCTGTTTTTTTAACAAATATTATGTAATGTACGCAGTAATGTTCTTAAAATAACATTCCATTTAATTTTATTAGATTATTTTATAAGGTATTCCTCCCATCTTTTTACCGTGCCTTCGTGGTGTGGTGGTCTGCACGCTTGGCGCGTATTCCAGAGGTCTGTGGTTCGATTCCCGCCGAAGGCATTGCTCATTTTTCATCTTGCCTGCTTCCAAAAATACCCAATGTCTCTACAATTTATCCATAAAATTTTGAAAATTCATTCCTTGATTTTCAAAACCAGCGAAAGAGCAACAGAATCTGACTGAAACAGAGATATGAAGCATACAATTTTAGGCGAGGCGAAGTAAAAAAATAATATGATATAAAGGTAAGGTTAGGTTATTGGAATATGGCAAAGCACATGCAAGCTCTCTGTTTAAAGGCAGGAATGCCATCGTGGAGGAAACTGTCTGTCATTAATGTTACACACGAAGAAAAACAGGAAAAAAATCTATTAAATTCCCTGAGGTTTGAATCCGAGTCAGATTACCAGTATTGAGCAGGTATAACCGTTCGGATATTGGTGGATGGCCTAATACAATACTACATAAATTGCACAGAAATTTTGGAACTAGGTGATATTTCATACCTCAATCAACGTATTTTGGGCCCTACATTCAGTTTTTAATAGAAAGAACATTTCAGGGTAATTTTACTCTTAGAATCGATGTATGAAATAATCAACTGATGTTATTTAAAGAAAAGTACAATTTTTTGTTTAAAAATATAAATTTACATTATTACATATAAAATTGTAGTCTGCATTTTAGATTGATCACATATGTGAGTATAAATGGAGTAACTTCATCTTGAACAATTTTAAGAATAAAGAGCCTTCATTAAAAATTTAATACGAATATGAGAAAAATGAAAACTGATTACTTAAATAGTAATAATAATTTAGATCTATTAAATCTTTAAAAAAATATTTGCCTTGAAGAAAAAAAATCAGAAAATTCAGTATCAACCAAAGTGTGCGAATCTCCTAGCTTACTGTACTCGGCATGTTAATTTAAGGGTAAACTAGCAGTCCTTCAAATGAAGATTCAATTAGCAAAAAGTTATGTTCTTCATTTCCTTATCATACATTTGATGCTCTAAACTTTGCAAGAGATGGGCAGAACAATGTGCCAAGTATAAGCAGGTCAAAAAAAGGATAAAACATGTCCGTTTTATTGAAATGTTCTAAACGTTTCTTCAGGATGTCATATACCCTGTTATCAGCCTATAACCAGTCAGTTCACATGATTTATTTGTGCTGTTCTTCTACCTATCGGACTCCTTCAGAACGTGTTGTGCCGGACTACTTCAGAATACAAAAAGCACGAAACACTTCACTGTGACTTTTTTGAATTTAAAGTTCGAATTCACAAGAGTGAAGTAAATTGTTTAGAATTGTCAAAATGTAATGATATTCTTAGCATTTCGTTTGTGGGAATTATTTAATAGCAGCATGGGCATAACTGCTAAAAGCGTAAAGGCACTCTTGAATTCGCTTGACGAAAATTCTTTCAGTTTTTCATTTGTTTCTAAATTTTATTTACTAATATTAACCAACAGATATTGGGGTAAAGGTTTGCTTACTTTCTCATTACTTTGTTATGGTACTGCTTTTCCCACGCAAAATATAGTACAGACTAAGACCTCTTTAGAGAGAAGACGTCCTACACACTGAACTCCATTTTTGCAAAAAGTAGAATTATCCTACCAGTACACTGAACTCATCAGATAACGCTGAATCTAAATCTTTGATGATTTCTTAATCGTTTTAAAATTTTTATTGAAGAATTTTTCCAAAACTTTATTATTAAAATTTTTATGTATGACATCTTTCTAACAAAAATGAATGATTTTAAAACTAATTTCGAAAATATGATATTACATAAGGGAAAAATTGTTACTTTAATTTAAAATCGATATTCTTTTAAAAAAGTCCTTTACCTTTGATGGCTTCATATGCTCCACAAGCTCATCTTTCTAAAAGTAAAGAGAAGAGGGAATGCAATTTTAATGCAAACAGAAAAATTTGAGGAATTTCCTGAATGAAAGATGTACTGATAAACACACATAACAAATAAAATACGAGCAAACCGAAAGCAAATTCCAATGTGAATCATATAATATTTTTTTCTAACTTGCTTATTTTTATTATAAAACTGATATGAATATAAACATATGAACAGGTGAGGAACTTACGTCAGGAGCGTTTTCTAGTTCATCTTCCATACAGACCATACCCTAATAATAAATTAAAAAAATTAAATTAAAGAAACATAATAGCTATGCATAAAGTTTACAAGTATGCATTTCAGCTACATCTTCAGAGATCATGCTGCTTTAGTTTTTAGCCCAAATGGCGTTAGCCAAGATTTAGTCTATTAGTCTCAAAACGAGATTTTGCGTTGAACCACTACATAAGTCTGAATGACTTTTCAAATTGTTGCCTTGTATTTAAAGAAATTAAATAATGAAGAACCGGCATGCCCGTATGTATGTTTCTAGCATTGTGAAAAACCAACGGTACCTAGATCCATCAAAACGTGGCCTTCTACCCGGATAGGGGCAAATAGGCCGGAATTCGGAATTTGGAATTTGCTTTATTGTCTGTTTCATATCTTGTAAACCTTTAACGAATTTTTGATTAAAATACTCAACGATTTCAAAACGAGCAGTGGCAATACTGTAGGAAAATAAAGCATTTTTATTTCCAGCGCGCAAGACTGTCTATCGGAAATTCTACAGATATGTTGTTTTTAAATATTTTCAGCCCAAAGAGCCGTTAGTCCAAATGCTCTCGAAAAGTATATGAGTCCGTAAATGAAAAACAAAAACGCCCGTTTGGGCGTAATATAAAATCTGAAAACTTTCAGACTTTTTTTAAAGCCCAAAAGGACTATTAGTCTCGAACAAATTGTTGCCACCGTATACCATCGCCCTGTATTAAAGATATTAAATAATGAAGAATCTGCATGTATGTATGTATGTTCCTCGCAATGTAAAAAAACGACGGTGATTAGAGCCATCATATTTTGAAGAACGTAGTCCTCAACCCGGACATGTTCACCTAAAAGCTCTAATTTTGAATTTCAAATTTGTTTTATCATTTATTTCAGATTTTGCAAAACTTTATTGATTTTTTGATTAACAGACTCAAGGATTTGTAAGCGAACAGTGGCAACAATGTTCGAAATAAAACATTTTTGTATACAATGCCTTTCGGAAAATTTTTATATTTTATTTAAGAAACTCGGCTTTATGAAAACAAAGAATTGCCGCTGCCAAAAATGTATTTTTATTTCCCACGCACCAGCATGAAAGTTATCAAATCCATTTGGCGGACTGTTAAAAAGTGAAACCTTTCAGAATTTTTATTTCATTTATTTTAACTGAGTTGCTTTATTTGAAAGAAAAGCTGCATAGCACTTCTTTTAAACTATTTGCTATAAATATTACTGATGATGTAATTTCTCTGGAAAGTTTTGGATCAACCCACTTTTGTTTGATGATATAAGTAAGTTCTAAAGCTGTCTTCTTAAATATAATTTGTAAGAAAGATAACCCATTTTGAAAGGTTTGTTACAAACCCAATCTGAAAATAAATTTTTTTTTTTTTTTTTCCTACAGCTTTAATTATACCTGCATTACGATGTTTTTACTATTATTATTTTAAAACGCTGATAGTTCACTTCAAGAACTTCATTAATACTTTTAGAAAACGTATTATTGGATATTTCAGTAATACTTTCCCATACTAATATACTAAAACTGGTTGTTTACCCCTCAAATTCTTTTGCTTTTGGCATCAGTAACTCGACGGCTCGAATCAGACGATGAAATCCTCATTTCGAATGGTTAATGATATACGCGCATAGATAGTCACAGCGCCTAGATAGATTGAAATATGGCCACAACGTTTCATTAGACTTCTTCCCCCATAAAAAAATCACCTATTTTTCGAACTGTAATCTTATTTTTATTTAATATTTATAGGGTTTTTTTTTTTTTTTTTTTTAAGTCTCTACTATATTAGGGTAAAAAAAAATCATACAAACAAATTCAGTGGTTACAACTGATTTATATCCTTTGTGAAGATAGTTGCCATAACAAAATCTGACAATTGGTGCTGTTTAATATCAGTGTTTATTAATGTTCTCAGGAATATTGTCGACTTTCAAAGGTGGTGGCCATGGGAATTTTTAATGTATTATTCCCGGATTATATGCTGCGTATCTGAAAATCATGATAACCTGATTTCAATTATTAATGCTATAGATTTAAAAGAAACATACTTATTCTGCTTAAAAAAAAGATTTCATTTTGCTTGGCATCAGTTTTTTACTTGAGTAATTGTTTATTATTTCATGAATTTCATATCTTTCTAAACAAATTATTTCAATGAATCACACACTATCAAAAAACTATTATTACATTAAATATCTCATGTGGATACCACATGACTTCCTTGTACGGCCGATTAAATTATACACATATTTTACTGCTCTTCATTAAACATACTACCTCTAATTTTATTAGTGATATATTTGTCACTCAATCAAATAAGTTCTCACTTCGCGAAAAGGCAAAAACACGTAAAAACTGAAAGCATATTCATTGAAAATTGTAAAATACAGAAAAACTTAAAACACGAGATATAGTTCAAAACATTAAAAAACAACAGTTTTACAGTTAAAATTAGAGTTTCTACTCAAAAAAAAAAAAAAAAAGATATTTGGCCAGCAAGTAGGAAGGCATATCTTTCGGTGCAAAAAAAAACTGACAGTTTACTTTTGGACCCACAAAATGTTTTGACAGTTTACTTTTGACAAAATAACATTGAAGTTGGGGTACAAACTGACTAAATTCACTATTGTGCTATGAGTTTAAAATGTAAAGAAATGGCGGCCTCATTAGGCTTAGCCTCACTTTAAACTTTTAAATTGTTGATAATTCTACAACTATTGCATGGATCCAGGGCTTAATTTACAAAAGTAGAAGTGCCGGAGCCCTATGGAAGATCGTCAGGAAACAGGAACCAGAGTAAATAAAAAAATTAATAAAACCATTAATAATTTAAAAATTAAATAGTAATGAGTATCAAAATAATTAATAATTATTTAATCGATATTAAAAATCAATATTTATTAATTATTATTTGATTTATAATTATTATTTAATTAGTGCATACTTAATTTGTTATTATTTATTAAAATAATTAAATATTAAAGGGATTAAATAATTAAGATTAAATAAGATGTAAGGAGATAAATTTAAATTTAATAAGCGATGTTTTACATAATTTTATTGCTAAAAGTAAAATTTTCTTGATCAAATTTCTACTGAAATAATTGTTTAGTTACATAAAACAAAGTGCCAGAGCCCTTTTATTTAGGGCTCCAGCTAGAATTAGAATATGTCTCAGAAGCTGAGAAGTACGGGCTCCGGTGGGCTCCGGCGCAATTTAAGCTCTGCATGCATCTTAACTAAAGACATAAAAACCCTTAACCGGTGCATAAGAACAACATAATTCAAGCACTTTTAAAGCAAAAAATTAACATTTTACTAATATAGTATTAGCAAAATATATATACGTACATACATATATATAAATATATCTTCATTATATACGGCGTAAGTGTCTGTTTGTCGCCGATAGTTTATTGGTTGCTTGCGTAACTGTACTAGCCAGTGGGGTGAAGTTGCCACGGTATTCAAATAGTCCATATACACTGATACCATACATGCAGTTATCATTGTTTTAATTAAATGATCATGGTATTTAAGAACATTTAAATATTTTTAATTCATACAATTGTTGCTTATTATGCATTTAACTATATTTACATATGAATCACCTAGGAACTTGCAAACGTTGAGAATTTAAAGAAGACGAAACCAACTTCATAGTACACCTCATCAGATAGGTTTACCCAAACTCCTATGCTAAATATCCTTTCCCGTAAAGAGTTTAAAATTTTGCCCGATTTTATTCCGACATTGTATTTTAAACTGAATTTTCAGCTGAACGCAAATTGAGCGTGTCAGGGGAAATGTGAACATTTGTTTGCATCAGCAATCATCTATTTTTGAAATGGTTTACAACTGAACGCAAGAGTTCCTGAGTTCCTGTTCAAGAGTTCGTGAAAGAACGGACGTAAAATTAAAAATAATTGATGGTCCTCTGCAAGGCGAGCTTAAAAATGATGGAAAGATCTACACAAGAAATGTTGTGTACAAAGAGATCTTTGACACGTGAATTAACATTTTGTTATTTAAATCACCTTTATTGATTGAACTAGCGGTGGCTCTTAAGAAATGTACCGCCAGTGGTTTCCTTCATTGAGCTCTACTTTAAGCAATTAAGCAAGTAGAAGGGGGAAAGTAAGCAAAGGGGAGTCCTCGCCGCCTGCCTTGGTTAAGTCCGTTTAAATTAGCAGACACCTTTACACAAATCATTTTAATTACAATTTATAATATCTGTAACAGCCGTCATTATGCATGACCGCTGGGCTTTCTAGTATATATATGTGTGTGTGTATGTATGTATTTAATAAATCAAGAAATGAGAAAAATTGGAAAGAAAAAGAATAAAATTCCGTATTAAAATTTTGAACGTCAATCTAATTTCTCCGGATTACATTATAAACTGGTAGTACGCAAATTAAAGAAAATTACAAAATTGGAATCAAATAAAGTTTACTTCAAGCAGTACAATCATATAAAATGCAGGAAATTTGTACATAACATAACCAAAACTAAAAGTAAGAATCTCTTTTATTTAACGCTTCAAACAGAAATTGTCAAGAGAAAAGACTTTTGAAGCCTTAAACCAAGTATGTATGACGTATATATTTATATATGTGTAATACGGCCGATTGTAACGAAAAAGGGAGATGCTCAACTATATTTATAGTAGTCCTATATAAAAAATTTTAACGATGTATGGCTATTCGTTTTTGAGTTGTGCTAGATACATACATATGCATGTACGTACTGATGTCACGAAAAAGATCTCTTCTGAAACCATTTTAAATCCATTTTACAACCCGTTTTGGAAAATAGAGGTTTTTAGTATTTTGTCCGTACATAGAGATATCACGCAAAAACATAATTCAAATGGGTTCGAGAAAGGTAAACATGGCCATTTTTGTTGAAATATGATACCCGAAATTTTTCGTGATTAGAATACTTCCTCTGCTTCGAAAAGAAAATAAAAATTAAATAAAAAATTGAGCTTTACTCTACGTCTTCACATTTTACATCCTTTTCAGAAGTTGATAAACTTTAAATCCCTCAGATATTTTAATTTCACAGTGCATTTTTCGAGTATGAAGTGCAGTTGGAATAAAAAAGTACAGAAATTCTCTCACAAATGTCTTTTTGCAGGCCTCGAGTGCATTCAAAAAGCCGGATTGTTTGCTTACTGAATATATTTCTGATTACACACAAACATCTTTATGGTCGTATGTTTATGATCGTATAGAGTGGAACTATAAAACTCATTTCAATTATATTTTCAAAATCCTAGGAAATTACAGAATGTGAGACATTTTCGGGAACATATCTCGAAGCAGCATACTGAATTGAAATACAAAACTGTTCACACAATCATCCAAGGTGTCTGGTTTTCGTAACCCCAGACCGCTAAAAATTACCGAGAGGAGATATAAAAATGTGTGCTGTATTTCATAAATAGAGCAATGTTTTTGAAACTATATTTCTAAATTATTATACTTAACTTACCTTGTACACATCTTCGAAATAATTTTCGCAGATATAATCTCTCATCGCTTCAGACTGAGGACTCGCGAGACCCTTAAAACACTCCATCTGAATTTGGTCATACTGAGAAATAAAAGTTCAATAAAAGAAATTTTCGCAAAGAAAAAAATAAAGCTAAAGAAAAATAATAAAAAAATAAAATCAAAGAGATACTATTTTGCATTGTAGTTTTTTAGATTCAATACGCTTCACACTAAAAATAAATAGAACGAAAAAAATTAATGGAAATTTCTTGAAGTCTCTTTAATCTTGTTAATAGTACTATTACAAGCATAATTTTTACTTTTTCAACTGTAAAAAAGAAGTTTTTATAAGTTGGAGAGATTATCAAACTGGAGCAAACAAAAATAGTAAAGATCAGGAAACGTTACCGGAGAACAAATTACATTTATTTCATGATTAGCCCAAAGGGGCGTTAACTCAGAAGGGCTTTCAGTCTCAAAACGGCATTCTGAGGCGTTTCACTATAAACATCGAATCACTTTTTAAATTGTTGTCACCAAATATTATCGCCCTGGAAATTGAATAATGAAGAATTTGCATCAATGTATACCATGTTTTTCGCACTACCAAAAAAACAACGGTACCTAGAGCCATCCAATTGTGAATAACGTAGTGCTCCACATAAATATGGGGGGGGGAGGCTGGAAGCTCTAATTTTGAAATTTGAATTTGTTTTATTATTTATTTCATATTTTGTAAAACTTTTTAAACGAATTTTTGATTTAAAAACTCAACGATTTGAAAGAGAGCAGTGGTAACTTTGTAAGGAATGAAACATTTTATCTCTAGCGCGTGAGACTGTCTATCGAAAGTTCTAAAGATATGTTGTTTTTAAAATTTATTATAGTACCTAATATTTAGCTTACATTCCAGCTTGTGATCTTGTAGCGGAAACCATTGAATTAATGATAGTATACTTGAGACTCAAAAATTTCTTAGAAATATTTAAAGTTTTCAATGAAACTTTATACTTTTTTCACTGGTTTTTTACGAATTAAGGAAGAACAGAAATCATAATAAATAAAAAAGAAGATACAAAATTCTTATAAAATTTAGAGAAAAGTTTGAGCTTATGCGTTTATTATGAGTTAACACTTATTCCTTAAAATAAGCTTAACGATAATTGTTAGGCAATTGAGATGAGAAGTAAGATCTTAAAATGAAATCAAAAACATTCTGTACGTAAAACATATTTCATGGAAAAATTAATTTTTGGATGCATCATGTCCAACAGTCCAAGTACAGCCATCTCTTTAACAAGCTCATTTTAATTAGCAAACATCAAGTTCAAATTTTCGGGAAATTAAAACCGTAGCATTTCGCGTATTAAAAATGACACGAGTTTCCAATAATGCACTTGAAATTAAATGCATAAATAAAAAATAAATCACACGCAATTTAACAAGTTAAAATTGAAATGCACTCAAAGCTATCAATAGCTTAAGAAAGAGGAGTTCAATGCAGATCTGTTTTAGATTACCCATTCGCAATTTTTCTGCAGAATTGTCAGAATGAATGCAATTCATCGTGTTTTCCTTTTCCTTTCTGACGTTTTACAATGAACTCCAGTTCGTGATTTGGTGCTTGTTAATACTTCATGAAAATCCGAACATTTTTTTAACTCTCTTTTACTTCTTTCTTTAATTCTATCCATAACATCTTTTCAAGTTTTTTTTTTTTTTTAATTCATGTTGTTAGTAAATTTCTTCAGTGAGAGCATACTTAAGAAAAGTATCATTGTGAACTTCTTCATGGTGCAGCTGGCGAGTTTTCCTGAAAGAATTCAGATTTCGTAAAACGATTATTTACTTTTTTATTTCTATACTGACAGATTACTATGTTTTGCAAAGAACTACAACAGAACAAAAATTAACTTGGAAAATTACCTTAACATGCTCGCAGTTTCGCATCTAAAAATTTTATCACTTAAGAGCTATGAAATGAAATTTTTATAGTGTCACTAGCCGCGGCTTCGCTCGCGTTGATGTCCTTAAATAAGTTTCAACTCCGCGTGAATTTTAAAAATAAAATCCGCGTAAAATTTCAGTAAAAACCGCCCTTTCTTCAACATAGGCCGCGGATATTTTGTATTTACGCGGAGTGTGTCGCCAAGAAATCTAGAAAAACTGTTACGTATATTTCCTAACTTAAGGACATTATATGTTAGTGGCTTTATTCGACAGTAATAATGCAATGATAATTGTCTTTTTCATTTGTTGTGTTCAATATGCCAGATTAGGATTTGTTACATTTGCATTCCACATAATACTGCTAAATCCTGTTATAAAATTTCCCTGTAGAGATCAGAGGTTTGCTATTTAGATCTATATCAGACCTCTACCAGAGGTTTGATATTTGCCATTTAGAATGCAAAATTATTATAATTATCTCTGTGCAACTAATGTCTCATAATTATGAAAACTTATTTAAATTGTTGCAAGCTTAGTGTTATTTTTTCAATCATGAGTATTTATTATTATTATTATTCGGCAACATATGTCAAAAATAAGATGTATTACTTATACTTATCAAAGATGTTTATTAGTCAATGCATAAATCGTGGTAAGTATAATTACTACAAGCCTTGACCAATAAACATCTCTGATTAATTATATTTGTTTTCAACTGATGATTTTATGTTGCTGCATGATTCCAGGTAAAATAGCTTCCTAATTTAAGTGAGTTAGGATTTATCTTAATTTTTTAGGATCTATATCCTGGCTTCATGTCTTAAACCGTCTTTCTGTTTAATTATTGCGTACAAATTAAATTCCGATTCATTAAATGTGAAGTTTCTTTTGTTAACAAGAGTTTCTCAACGATTAAATTTGGTAAAATCAGTAATAACTTTTAATGGAATTAAAAATTCTAGTTATTCGTATAAAAAACATTCTAAAAATAAAAAACTCGGTTCTTCACATTCTAATGAAAGCCAGGTATTTTCCAGATTTATAAACGATAAGAATTAAATATAAAAATTTAAGTTCATTTTAATTATAAGCGTGTCAAATGGATATTTAAGAAGGTATCCTTAAAGTTAGCAAGGACGAAAGTATCCCTTGTAGTGACGTCAAGAGCTGCGCAATATGCAGTAACTCCTCTCTTTCCCGTACGTTCTACGGAAAATACAGAGTATTAACTTCTCTCCATACTTAAACACCTCAACTATCACTGTATAAAGCAAAGAGGGACTCATTAGTGAACAGAATAGACCTCCACTGATTTTTCAGTGTAGTTTACATGACTACTGCTCAATTTAAACACTTCCTCCTGTGGCAAGAGGTAAGGATACCTCCCTTCCTATAACAAAATAAACGTGGATCTAAGCTGAGATGGAGTTTCAGGCCTGTTGCGACGTGCACTAAATCGAAAATATCGGTCATCCGCAGAAGCTGTAACTCTTGGTTTACCTTCGGTAAGTCTTCGAGAGGCTGAACCAATAGCTGGAATTGGTTCCAGAACTCTTTTCACATGGAACGATTGACATTTAGCCATTTTGCAAAGTCAGACTATCTATGATCTGCTTCTTATCACCCTATGGCTCTATAACACAATTTTGCTGACAAATGCAGCCTCGTTTCTACACTTAGGCTACTTGAAACTGTTTAATATACCCTGGTTCATTGAAGGGCGATTCGTTCCTAAATAGTTGGTTTTAAGCTATGTGGTATTGACGTAAAGCGATAGCAGCGCCACTCTTTTGCGTAAAGTTATTCGATAGAGCTTGCTTATTGCAACATATCCAAATTTCAAGAATTTCGAACTATGTTTAGGTGATTTATATAGCGATTTTTCAGTTTGTTGCTTAATTTTTGTAAACCATAGTATTATTCAAATGTGAAACACAGTATTGTTTAACATACATATACAGAAGATTCTTTTCAAGTTCTTCCTCATTTTGACAATAAAACTGCAAGCATATTCTGAGGTTGTAAGGTTTATTTTACGTAGCCTATTTTTTATGTTAGAAACTTTCCTGTACTTTTACGTCAAGTCAACTCCATTAGAAATGCAAATTAAGCCAATTTAAACAGTGAGCGATGATGTAAGTTAGAGGGATAGTTTTGGCAACTTCATACAGTACTGTTGCAATTCTCATACTACATCTGTCGATTGGATAATTGTATTGTCTTTGGTGAGTTCTGGCATTTTGCTAACGTTTACTTTTAGAAGTCACATTTGTATTGAAGTAGGGTTATTGCATTCTACTTTGCTTTTGCTTTATGAATATTTAAAGTACTATTGTTCAGCCTTCAAGAAGCAGTAATTATTATTATTATTATTTAATTTTGTAGCTTTCGACCAAACAGGTCTTTAACTTCAGTGAAATAATGTGTAACCTTATAAAGTCACTTAAGCACTTTTATTGCTTGACTAACTGACGGGAAAATTTTTAATGCTCTTAATCCCCTCAGATGTTTATTGCGTAGTTTTCTGTTTCATTTTCATTTATCAATTACCTGAACATTTGTAGCTTTGCGTTGAGTCAGCCCCGAACATTAAACTGCTCTGTTCTGTTTTGAAATATCTGCATCATTTTTACACTCTTTAGCAAAACGGCTTCGGTTCACGTCTCACCCACTTCTTAATTTTCGTCTTTCTTTCTTCTCTTCAGTTTGCAACTGGTTATGGCACAGCGCTTTTCTGTCATGCTCGCCAGCGATAGCCGGAAATGATTTTCAACCAACACTGTTAATTATTCTTTGGATTCCCCACCCCCCATCCAGCAAGATTGTACTCGATTACGCTCATCATTGGCAAAACCATATCAGCTTCATACTTTTGAATCTTTACAGTGGAATAGTTTCAGCATCTGAAGGTTTCCTATATCTCTTGGATTTTTGGACACCTTCTAGTTCTTTAAAAACATTTATGATGTTTATTTCTTTAACTGAGCAAGTTTCATAATGTAACAATTTGAGATTCTCTTCTTCAAAACCATTTTTCGTTGAGTGCATTTAGCATAAGCTTAAAGCATTTAAAGAAATTCTCGCATTCGTCGTTTAGACAATTTTAATGCTTCAGATAAATGGTTAGCCTGTTCTTTAAGAAGTAAATTTTCTTGAAACATAGAATAAACTCAAAAGAGTAGTCACATAGGACATAAGCACATCCCTGTCCCCTGTCTCTCTCAAATCCCCATAAAAATAACTAGTCAGTTTCCTCGTTTGACAGTCGATACTTGTTACAGCCTGCCCATTTCATGGAATGATTCAAAAGTCTCGAAATATTTTCTGATTTTATATACCATTGCAGCAATCAAAATCAAATTTTCCGTAAGGTGATTTGCAGAAAATGCAATACACGAAAGCAGTTTTACCAGCGGCTGAACGGTAAAGTGCCTGAATACTGGTAGTTCGGTCCGAGGTCCGAATCCCGCAAATGGGCTGGCTGCATGGGTGTTTCCGTGGTTTATCCCATGTGTAACGTGTTAATACGAGACAGTTTCTTTGAGAAAGTACTCCACGAAGGCATCCCTCCCTTCAGTGTAGTGCTTTAGGGCTGAACACGTAAATAATAATAATAAGCAATCGGTTTTGGGGATATTAGCATCATGGTCGCTCTCTTGAAATTTGTTTAGAATTTTTGTATAGGAAAAACGGAATATATTGTATGAATTTAAGCTACAAGTTTCTCTAAAGAATGAAACGGTTAAAAAACTCTTGATACTTTGGGGAAAATTATAGAAGAACTCGCGTAGGCCAATTTAAGGCTGTAAATCCTGTCCGTCGTTTAATAATTACTGCATATTATTTTTATTTTGTTCAATTAATTCTATCATGCGAATTGTTGGATAGTCACGTTTGCTTGTATTCTTCTAGGTGTTTACAAGATTGCTATTATATTTTGGTCCATTTCACATATCTGCAAGTTTCCAGCACGTTAAAGAAGATAGAATTCAATTTGTTTTACGAAATCGAGAAATTTTAAATGTATATATATATATATATATATATATTGAATTTGCAGATTGGGTTACGAAAATATTTTGAAAAAAATACCCAAAACTGATTCTTTTGCTACTTACACGTTCGAAGCCCTCTGCCTTTCTCATGCAGTCTACTATTTGGTTGCTCATTTCCTCTGTCTCGTTTACTGAAAAAAAAAAAAAAAGTGTTATGAAACTAAAGAATCTACATTTAAAAATATGCAGCTCTGAAGACTGCATGTAATGTAAATATTTTTCCTGATTATGTATTATTTATTACACATTCTTTGGTTTCGAAATGCTAACAGTGGAAACTAACGTGAAAGGATAACAGTGAATTGTTTTAACGTGAATATTAACGATAGGATATTTAGTTTCCTTTTATAAGCATTATTTCGAAACAAAAGGTATCAAAAGCTTACAAAATAAATTTCCAGCGAAAACATTGAATTTTTTTCATTGAAAACACTTTTACAGTCTTCCTTGATAAAAATTATGCAAATTTAATTTATACATATTTTCAGAGCAATTATTTAAAACTAAATATAGAACAATCAGCACTTAATTGTACCTAACAAATATTTTTACATGCAGTGCTTCTAGAATATACTGCCCACTATATATATATAAAAATTCTAACTGACAACGTCCGACAGAAAAAACTACCCAGTAGCAATAAAAAGAAATATATAAATACAGTAATGATGTAATATACAGCACACCACCTATCACACATTCATTTGTTTCGAAAGAACAACTGTTTGGAACAAATTTTCTGCTTTGTCACAATAGCCAATCACCACAGATCGCTTTGGGTTTAACACAGGGGAAACTGGTTCTCCATTACAAACAAGCTGATAGCGGTTTGGCTGAAAACGTACAACTTGCAATTTTTTTCGAAAGGGAAGAAAAAAATCGCGCGTCTTTCTTTCAGTAGTAAACTAGGCAGAAAAATTGTCCGAAACAGTCGTTCGTGTGAAACAAATGCGTGTGTGATATGGATAAAGAATCCTTTAACAGTCCGAGTTTTACGTTTTTGAAGACTTTTGCTTTCATTATGTCCTCAGAACGCAAACTGCGAGATCTGTTGAATATTGTATAATCAGGAATGTAAATTAAATCGTACATTAAATTTGCACTTTTAAATGTGAAAATTTAATATAATGCTTCGAAAACATATCCTAGCAGCAACTTTAGTACTTGTGTAATAATATAAGCAAAAAAAAGGTCTGGCCAGTCTCATTTTGTGATCATACGGCCGGCTAGAAGGATAGGGGCTGTGCCCTTATAATGATAAGGATAATAAGCAAAATAGTTTATAAATCTCACAAATTTAGTTTGTGTGTAGCTTTTAAAAGATGGAAATTTTTTTTTTAATTTCCAATATAATATTTCTGTAAGCTAAAAATTACCCTCTTACATATATTCCCCTTCAGATAAAAGAAAGGAGCGGATCATTTGGCATGCACATTTTTTAAATTTAGAAGCATAAGTTCAAATTTTTGAAGAACTGAGAGAAAGATGCGTTTAAGTGATATAGTACGTACACTACTTTTTCATGTGAAAAGTACTTACAGCTGTCAGCCCACTATTAGGTCATTGTAGTAGAATTATCATAAAATATACAAACGAAAGAATGAATATTCAGACTCTGTATTTGCAGAGTTTTAACAGCATAAGTATTTTTAAAATCGACCCTTACAGAATTGCTTTGAAGAAATTTTTATCACGGATAAGAACTATTAATTTTGATCAGATTTATATTTTTGCCACTTTAATTACCTTTTACACAGATTCTGTATGATGAATCAAAAATTGAAATATTCCTTTTAAAGTTATTTTATAAAGGAGAGTAATAATATTTTGGGAGACATAACATTCTAAATTCTAAAACATTATTAAATAAAGAAATCCTTATCCTGAATAAGTAGGTGCTTCAATCGTGCAATATAACATCGGGGCCTTTAGTTACGTAGCCAACTAACTCTACAAGCACAAATAACATAAGTATCTTTGACAGAAAAATTACTTTACATTAAAGCAGAGTTTCTTAAACTGTGGGTCGCGGGACCTACAGAAGGGGGTCGCCAAAAATTTTAGCAATTTTGATATTTCTTATCATAATAATTTCACAATTACCAAATATTTTACATAATGTATTTTGAAACAGAAAAAACGAAAACGTTCGAAGCATTTTTACTTCCTTGTACGAAGTAAAAAGGAAGTATTGTAATCGCGAAAAGTTTCAGGCAGCATATTTCAACGAAAATATCCATTTTGACCGCTATCGAATGCAATTTAACGATGTTATTGCGCGATATCTGTACGTAAGGACAGAATAAAAGACTCTTTTCTGCCAAAAATTATAAAACTGCTTTAAAATGAATTCTGAAGAGAATTTTTTGTGGAGTCTGTACGAACATATGTACGTACGTATCTCGCATAACTCAAAAACGAATAGCCTCAGAACGTTGAAATTTTGTATATAGGACTGCTATAACATGTAGATGTGCACCTCGTATTTTGGTTGCAGTCGGTACCAATGCGGCACCAAACGTATATAAATATATTTATATATATATCCACTCTGTTTCCCGGCTCAGTGATCTCAGTTTCTTTGCTCTTACATGTTTATAAATTGTACATTTTTTGCTTTAAAATGATGGAATTATGTTGTTTTTATCTTCCGGTTAAGGTTTTTATGCCTTTAGTAAATCTGTATGCAATATTTTTAGAATTATCAACAATTTTAATATTGTTTAGGTGCCGCTAAGCCTAACATCTTTTTTTATGGCGGCCATTGCTTGTTTACATTTGAAACAGCAGAATAGTGGATATGTTGCCAATCTAGAGCAACTTAGCTTCGCAACAACAAAGATAACGCCTTCATTTATTATTGCGAATTAAATCATGCTTAATCCATTCTGGAATTTATTCGAGGAAATAAGTGTTTAAGATTTACTTCGTAATTTTTAACATAGATATTTTGAGTTTTTATGTATTCTTGCCTTGTAGGGAAGTGAGAACTGAATTAATTGAATGAGAAATACTGAATCGCCGGTGAAAAACTGTTTGTTTCTTTTTTGTTTTGTTTGCTTAATTTCTTTTATACATCGTTCTAGCTTTATTATAGTATTTGAATAGAACATGTGGCAACGATTAGATAATTTTTCAAATGATATAAATTTTGTGCATTCTGAGTTATAATATGAACGAAATATAAATACTGTTAAGTGAACCTAGCGCCAGAGTGTCGCTATGGTAAACAAATAGAGTGAATTTTAAAGAATGCATTTATTCTATTGTGGTTTATGCGCTCTCGACGAAGTAGATTTAATTCAATCCAATAAGTTTAAATGAAATGCAAGAAAAAATGTGTATAATTTAATATTCCATACAAGGAAGTCATGTGGTGTACACATCAGATTTTTTTATAATAGAAACGGTCATTTTCTGCAATAGTCTGCAATAGTATATTACATTACAAGTGAAGAACTTGACAGTTTCACTCACGCGTGTGTCGGATTTGCGTAATGCTTATGTGGGTTCCACAGAATTTTTGTAAATATTATGGGGTTCCCAACACCAAAATGTTTAAGAAACTTTGTACTAAAGAACAATTTAAAGATTGATAGGGAACACATAAAATCAGGATAATTAACTCAAGTATCAAACATTTATAATGTTAAATGTTAAACTACTTGGAACTTGAGAGATAATGAAGAACATAAATTTCAATGCAAAGCATTTCAGACTGCTATACTGTCTATGTAATTATGCCTGCATCTTTTCAAACATATAAAATTTCGAATGAATTCTACTTTTTATAAGTTTCTTTTGAACCAACTGGTAATTAACACATAGTAAATAATTCTTCCTAGCATATTTTCAATTCTAATCTTTAGGACATTACTTCTCGATCTTTACTTCTCGATCAATGAAATTACATTGGAAATAAAGTGTATTGACTTGGGCATATAACATACATAACCATTAAAGATTAAAATCAGAAAATTAAGAGTACTTACAGCACATAAATACTTGTATAAGTTGTATCTCATCCTCGTCAATATTCCCAGCAAATGCCAAATGGATTGCTGCCATAAAGACAAGTGCGATTACTGAAGAAAGGTGCATGGTTAAAAATTAATGACAGATGAAAACTGCAAGCTGAGAAGCCGGTACTGAAAGTTTCATATATATTGTTTCCAAATCAGATAACACAGCTGCTTACTATCTTTTATGCTACTTTCCCGGATAAGGTGTATAATTTAATATTATGACATTGCATGACGTAAACTACATTCATTGACAATTATTCTACAAGTAATATTTTGATAGAGCAATTGTTATTGTATACACATATTGTTGCTATACATCCATTTGTTATTTTACGTACAAATTACATCACGATAAAAAAATATTCCAACAATGGAAAACTTTTCATCGTTGAAAAAATTATACTTGTATGTCTTTGAATTTAAAAATTACGTTTTCCTGGTCAAAAGTAGGAACCTATGAGATACGACTGTAAGTATTTGTCAAACTTTATGTTTTAAAAATCTAGTTTAAATCTATAAAATATACTTCTTTTAGGGAAATGTTATAGTGACACATCATTTTAAACAGCAAGCCAAAATATTTTACATAATAATAATAAATTGATGTCAGAATAATAATAATAATAATAAATAAAAAAGAAGTCCTCGTAGAAGAAAATATTATTTTAAATTTTGCAATTCATATAGATTAATAAATATTTGAATTTGGTGTAATATCGTTGTGGGAGCTTCTAACTTTGCAAATTTCTACTGCTGAAAATGAAAAGTTTACGCTCCTGATCATGGTATTTCTTTATATGTTAAAATATAACATTTTTTGTTAATCCAAGTTTTTTAACCTACCAAATTATTTCTGCACTGTTAATTATGCTAAGGAATACAAATAGTAAACATTTAAAGCGATTTTGCTAAAGTAGTTAATTGTTACATTAGAGTACGAAAATTAAAATACTCGCACATAATCTACAGAAATTTCGAAGAATTTGAACTCTAGCTAGAAAATACTTCTTTTTAATTATAAAAACAAAATTTTATGAGAAAAAAAATTAATTTTTTTTTGCGCTACAATGAAAATAATAGATTGTTTCGATAAAGAAAATTGTAAAAATGTCAATTTTAATTGTTTACAATTAATACAAGCACACAAGTTATTTAATTAATTAAGCTGCAGTTCTAGATGTGGTTCACTTGTCTAACTTCTAAGTGCCAACTGTACGTGTAGTAAGTTCTGGTAGGAACTACACAGAAGAAGGGGTAAAAGTACCCCTTTATTAAACTCTTTAAAATTTACAATACGTCAACTCGACTCTAACACAGTAAACTAGAGCCGGAGAGGCTGACCCAGAAGGCTCGAGGCCTCCCATACAAGGTTGATAGAATTGAGACTCCAGGGCCTACCCGAGAGGGCGCCACACCTTCCGGTCGCTGCAGAGGGAAAAGATCCCTAGATAATTCATCGGATAGGAGACCGACGGGCGACCATCACTAAGAGATCCACAGGGCCGATTTCAACTCCGACTACTCAAATAACAAAGACAATTTCCACGTGAGGGGTCACCACTCCCTCCCGCGGTACTATTTCTTAGACATTTCGAAAGTCAGACTTCGTCCGTGTCTCCACACCGACCGAAAGGAGCCAACCCCCTCGGACGACCATCGAAATCGAAATCTGACCATGTAACGGCTCCACAGCCAGGGACCAAGATAAGACAGTACCAGTACGGTCCCTGCCAAGCCAGAACCCACCACTGAATAAACGATGGTTCTAATCTATGTGAAGACTGATTATTTGCTCTGCAGGCCGAAGCTGCCTATACGCAAGTCTAGCCAGTGATCTGGAAGAAACCCAGGTCTCCTCCCATAAATGGTCGGTTTCAGTGATTCCGTCCAGTCGGACCACAGAGTTAGTTGTCCAGCACCGTTTAGCCTATGCCAGCCAGCCTATATCTAGCCTTTGCCAGCATAGTTTCCAGCGGGCCCCACGAGAAGGCCGATGCTGAACACACTAACACACGACGCTACGTCTCTCTTGGACGGTAACTGAAATCAGAGAACTAAACTAAAAATTTGAAGATTGACATCTTCAAATAGTAGTAGAAATTCGCTATAGAGCTCAGCTATTCCTGTTTCTTAAACCAGCGTCAAAACGAGTGGCAACAAAGTAAATGCCACGTAAAACAGCAATAACTCTGGGAGTACAAGCTCACGCAACAGAGGTGACGGTAATAGAATAACTCTCTCTAACTTTCCTACTGAACATCGGTTTTTAAACTCTTTCTTCACAAGGTAGAATTTGCGTTCCTGCACGCGCGCTACCAAATTTAAATAGCCTGCCATTTACAATTAGAGGAATGAAGGCTTATAGGGAAGTTTAAAATTAAACTTTAACTTGTTAGTTAAAATAAATATGAATTCCTGCAAAACATTCAGAAAATTAACCTTTTTTTTTTGCCAAAATTTACAGACACTCGTAAAGTTTTCTGATCCTTTCTTTTCATGTGTGTCTTGTATTTCTTGTATTTGGTGATTGATGGTACCAAGTGCCATTGGTTATGAATTTAGAATTTATAAGTAAGAATAACGCAGTTTGACTTCGAACTGGATTAAAATATTGAGTTATTTTTTTCCACTTAATATGAACCACAATTTGCTTATTCTATTGTTTGGTATTACACTGTGTATAATCTAATACTGTTTTACGTTGTTTGTTTATTTTATTAATCGATTATAATAAAATACTCGAAGAATATCTGACTAAAAGATTGGATACCTTTATAGAATACTTTGTAAGAGAAAACTTACGTTCATGCTATACACGCGGAAAATCACAGCAAACTCATTTGCAATAGCCTGTTCGCTGCGATTCGAGTCCAAGTCAAACTTCCAATGGTATGGTATGGTATATTTAATTATGGCAAAGCACACGAGGGCTATCTGCCTAAGGGAAGGGATGCCTTCGTGGAGGACTTTCTAAGGGAAACTGGCTCGTATACACATTACACATGGAGAAAACCACGAAAACGCCCATGCAGCCAGCCCGTTCGCGGGATTCGAACCTTGGACCGAACTACCAGTGTTTAGCGACTTTACCGCTCGGCCGCTGGTGGACCTGTCAAACTTCCAAATTTCAGTGGTCTTGTAGGGTCCTATTTAGTTCTATAATAGTTATTTTAACTTGTGAGCCTTTTCTGAATTCTCTTATTTCCCCTCACGTTTCCTCGCCAAGGATGTAAATTAATTAGGTGAACGAGAATATTTCAACTGTTGAAACGAAAAGGTTAGACAGAGCGTGATAATAATAGTAATAATAGTTTGCGTATGAAAAATATAAACTTCTATTTTCGGAAAAAATACCAGAAATGTATCAAATCGTGTAATAAATCTGGTTGGTCTTTAAGTTCGACTGAAGTGATATAACTTCGGATATAACTTTGCATAAGAATATCTAAAATTTTCAATGGGAAGTCGGATTTTGAAAATAGTTTTCTATTTTTGATACAGTTTCATTGCATTAAGTCTTCTAGCTCTATGAAATATCATTGTTATTCACAAATTTCATGAAGATGAAAAAATTTGATTTCCTTGAATTTTAGAGCATTTGTAAGCATCTGCAATTAAACTCGCATGGCACCCTCTAAATTAATGTAAATGATATATTCTTGAAAAAGATTGGGCTATGCTCTTAGAAATCTACGAATAGTTGAAATGTTTGGTATGAAACCATAAAAACCTTGCATGAGTCGGTATATGTTCACTCTCATTATTGAAGGCCCACCAGCGGCCGAGCGTAAAGTCGCTGAACACTGTAGTTGGTCCGAGGTTCGAATCACGCGAACGGGCTGGCTGCATGGATGTTTTTCGTGGTTTCCCATGTGTACGGTATACGAGCCATTCCCCTTAGAAAGTCCTCCTTGAAGGCATCTTCCCTTAGGCAGATAGTCTAGTTGCTTTGCCATAATTAAATACACACCATTATTGAGATATCTTCCTAAATTCGCAAATAGTGGTATTAGTCTTATTATTTTCAAATTCGGTGTTACTTCATGAATTAAAAACTGTATAGAAGAACGAACACGTTATCGAAAATTCATATTTTAAAAATTTCTGGTTTTATTTAAATGGTAGAAGTAAATTGAGCGGGATGTTAGGCAGTTTCTTTCAGAAATCTATCCGATTTGAAAATGTAGGATAATTTGTCTTACGAAATTGTTCTAAATAAAAAAAATATGGGTGATATGATTAGAGTATCTTTTCTCTTGCAAATAGTCATAGTATAATAGGAATGAATCTTCTTCTATAGCAGAATTTATTAGTTTCTGAAGATTATTAGAAAAACATTTCATTTTTGTGAAATATGTAGTATTGGTTGTCATATGGTAGGAAGTGTTATTCAAAAGTTCAGAGTGGTAAAATATGATCTGAAATGGCGTTTTCTGAAATAATCAATGTATTCTCAATATTATAATTAAAATAGTCAAAACTAGAAGTTTTACACAATCATAAAAGCCTTGAAAAATTGTTGCAGTCGTATAAAATTAACTCGAAGATGAAATTGTGCTTGCAGGATTAAACAATCAAAATTTGGTTTGAACAATCACTGAGTGCCACATATAGATGTGATCGTGACTTTTCAATTCCTTAGTAGAAGATATCCTTTTTTAAGAAATTTTTTTCCTTTTCCGATGAAAGTAAGTCTAAAGCTAAATCTTTGGAAAGTGAGATATCGATTTTTCGTCTGTTAAGAAATGCCACCTACATAAAACAAAATAGGAGTATCACTGAATTTTCTGTTAGTACAAAGGGTAGATTTAGAAAATAAAGGAAAATTTCTAAAAACGTCTTACTCTTACTTCTTAAAAGTTGATAAGTTATAAGAAAACTCTTTTTAACCGTATACTGCTTATAGGAAAGGATTTGTTACTCAGGTTTTATATTAATACATTACATGATTTTACATTTCGTTTAAGTATTGGTAAGGTTTTACTGTTCCTAATGAGTGGGATTTTCTTAGCGTTTTCTTGCATTTTCCTCAACAACGCTTCGGGGTAATTTAATAATGTATCGCATAAATATTCTTTTCTTT